ATTTCAAAATAATAAAAAAGTATAATAAAAGTATATATAATAAATAAGGGTAAAATTGGTATTTAAAAAAAATCCTATGTGGAGAATTCTAAAACTGTAAAATTGGGAAACATTAGACATTTGTGTAAATAAGTTTCTAAAACAGACCTCCGAAGATATTATCTCCAAATAATAATATTCAAAACATCTCAATATGTTCGAGGCATATTCATTAAGTTGCAAAGGATACACATATAAAATCTATATATTTCGAATACTATGCTTGCGACGTTACCGTTCAACAATTTTATGAAGTTGAATAATAGAATTTATCTTGTTCAAAAAAAATTAATATTATTTGTCAAGCAATAATAAAAGCGAGCATATGTAACTTAAAATACGACTATATAGTTGGGATTTGGATTTTTTTTTTTTGTTATACTATTGTTATTTTTATTATTCTTTTATAATTAGAGTATTGTTTCTTATTTCGAATGTTTTTCTTTTGAACAATTTTATTTAAAATATTTGTTTAAAATATAGACCAATTACAACCTCGTGTTATATATATTGCTGAAAAAAAATCATTTAAGTTAATTCATCAAAAAGTGTTTAGTAAATTAGAAAATTAATTAGAAACAATAATTTGTATGGAATCTTAAAAGGTGGATACAAAACTTGTAGTCATTTCATTTCACAATAACATAATTCAAAGAATTTTTCTTTAATAATTTTAATTACCATATGAAATTATATCAATAAAATAACTTGATCTCAAAGTTAAAAAGTTTAATATATTTTAACTTAATATATAACAAAATGTTAGCTCTTAGAAATCGTTAGCATCTTTAATAAATAAACTAAATATTTTTAAAAATAAAGGCCCCAAATTAGGTAAAATAACATTTTAAAAATTAAAATATTAAAATAATTATTTATTTTTAAAATTAATATATTGAAAATAATAGAATGTAACCTTAAAATTTGAAAGGATTTTTATCCAAGGGCATTTTTGGCAAAAACATTAAGTTTTATTTAATCATTTTCTCTATTTATTCTATTTTAGGTGTATCATTCAATTTATTTGTAGATTCAGCTAGTTTTCTTTCTTGGAACGTTTTACTAATTGATTATATGGAAATTGTGTTTTAATTGTATTGAGAGATTTGTGGTTGAATTGGAATTGTGATAAATTCACTTTCCTTCTCATGTCAAATTTTCTTGTCTATTTATTGTTTAGTCTTAGAACATATCAGGCAAGAAGTGTGGAGCAAAGTTTGTTTTATTCTCTCAAATTGTTCAAGCATTGTTTATGGTGTAAAATTTTGAGAGAGAATTTTTTATGTAATTCGATAAGGGCAATTTTGTGAGTTGTTCTTCTTTTGTGAGATTTCTATCCAGTATTGGAGAAGGCACATCACCATTGAAGGGAGTTCAAGCGGTGGTCTACAACACAGGGGAAGCTTGTGTTTGAAAAGATTCAATCCAATGAGAAGTCGATCAAGTATATTGCGACATGATTTAAGAAGGGAGTTCTTTTATGCATAAGTCAATATTGATTGTAAATTATACTAACTTTTGATTGTTAATCTTATTCTTTGGGTGTGGTCTCATGGAGTAGGTTGGGAAATCAAACCACGTTAAAAACGTGTTTGTGTCATCTCGTTTAATTGTTCAATTTCTAAGATCCAAAACCTTGACATTTAAAAAATAGAATAATATTTTAGCAAGCTAGTTAGATCTTTCAAAATTTATTAAAAATTGGTATGATTTAGGAAGGGAGTTCTTTTATGCATAAGTCAATATTGATTGTAAATTATATTAACTTTTGATTGTTAATCTTATTCTCTGGGCGTGGCCTCGTGGAATAGGTTGGGAAACCGAACCACGTTAAAAACGTCTTTGTGTCATCTCGTTTAATTGTTTAATTTCTAAGATCCAAAAATTTGAAACTTTAAATTAATTAGATCTTTCAAAATTTATTAAAAATTGGTATGAAATAATACAATTTAAATGCATGGTTAAATAATTAAATCAGTAAAATAATTTTATCTCAACTTAAAAGTTGAATATATAATAACATGTTAGATTTGAAAAATCTATAGAATTTCTATCAAACAAACAAAATTCCTTTTAGAAAATAATGGTCACAAAATAACATTTTTAAAATAAAAATATTAAAATACTTATACATTTTTAAATTAATAATAAAATGTAAACTAAAATTCATTCAAGAGTGGTATGAGATAACTAATTTTAAGATTTCATATATTTTCATTTTTAGTATATTTTAGTAATAATAATATTTTTTTAATCTTTTATTTTTATAATTACACCAATTATAAATTATAAAATAAATTTATCAATTTGTAATATATAAGCAACCCATGAATCTTTAAATTTAAGGCACATACTAATCTTATTAGTATAATATAAAAATAAAGTAAAAAAAAGTAGAATGTGTATGCACATTCTAATAAACTACTATACTAAAAAGCTGTGATATTTGAAAAATATTTTTAAACTATTTTATCTCTTCAAAATTTTTAAATTTACATGTCACTTACCTAAATTAATTCAATAATTATTAATTTTAATTATATTACATTTAATATAAGAATACGAGGAGTCTTAAAATCTTAAAAACGAATATAAGGAAATTTATTCTACAAATATGAAGAATCTTGAAATCTCAAAAGAATTATAATTTTCATATAAATATAATATATATATATATATATATATATATTACACTTATTTAAAATTATAAAATGTGATAAGTTTACTTACCTAAATTAATTCAATAATTATTACTTTTAATTATATTACATTTAATATAAAAATACGAAGAGTCTTCCCATCTTAAAAAAAGAATATAAGGAAATTTAATCTACAAATATCAAAAATCTTGAAATCTCAAAAGAATTATAATTTTCATATATATGTGTATATATTGCACTTATTTAAAATTATAAAATGTGATACTTATCTAAATTAATTCAATAATTATTACTTTTAATTTTATTACATTTAATATAATTATTACTTTTTATTCTATTACATTTAATATAAGAATTCGAAGAGTCTTAAAATCTTTATAAAATATATAATAAAATTTAATCTACGAATATCAAGAATCTTGAAATATTAGAAGAATTATAATTTTCATATATATATATATTACATTTAATTTTAAATTACTTTTAATTTCAAACGAGCGCTGTCGTTCGCTCACGCCTATGCCACCCACCTTCGCCCGCGTGCCTACGCTCCGTGCACGCTCAAATACGAAAGCCTAAGTTCAACCACACAAAGGGATTGAACTTAGGCTTGTTTGATTGGTCATCAAACTCGTGGAGTGTTTCCAACTTCGAGCATAGTGAGTAATTTGTATGTTCAAGGTAACGACTGCAAAGGTAATTCCTCTAATCCTTAGCCTTTCGGGTTGAACCATCACTACGATTGGATTCAAGTGGCTTGTGGCTCGAGTAGCTCAATACGCTTGGGCTGTCGCGTATCAGTATGGGCCAATCTCTCTAATGATCACAATGTTTTCAACATTAACTTCCACTCTTTGAGTAGACATTATAGGAAATTTATTTTTTTTCCATGAAAAGTTAACTTTTTAAGATTAGCATATACTTTCTCATTTCTAATTGCAATCAAAACACACCTTGCATGCTCAATTTTACTTTTTGATGTCCTTATAATACATCCAGATGTTCCTAGAATATATTAGGATGTCATTAAAATAAACCACAATCTTTTCCCAAAAAAATCATGCAAAAGATGAGTCATAAGTCTCGTGAAATGTATTAGGTGCATCGGTCAAGCTAAAAGACATAACCATTCATTCATACAAACCGTGTTTTACTTTTGAATGTAATTTTCTACACGTCTCCTACATGCATCTGAAAAAAGAAAGAAACTCTTAAGCCAAAACTTGTAAACAATAATCAGTATGTATTTTTTTTTTCTATATTACAAGAGTCCTCTCATCCTTTTTAAATACTGCACAAGGAGAGATGAAAAAACTACAACGGAAACTTACCATCTTTAATGGTACACGATATACAAGGGAAATTGCAATAATGGAGATCACAATGATGGAGAATAACAACAATTTAGGGACTGAAATAATGTTGATTTATATTGATTTATATCAGCCAACTGGGACTTAATTGAGGAGACTTTATTGAGATAAATTAGGTCGATTAGTTTGTGCCTCCAATTTATCATTCTCATATGCAGTAGACAGATGTGGTATTGGGTCCGTGTTGAAGGCAAAAATTGGGGTGACTTGAGCCACTGATATGGGAACATGAGCTAGTTGAATCTTTACATCGTTCTCAAACTGGTGGTAGGGAGAGCTCGTACACCTTGTTTGCTAGCAAGGCTTTTGAACATGTTTTTGGGGAGAGGTTTCGTACAAATATCAGCTAGTTGATCATGAGTTGGAATATATTGTGTAATGAGGGATCCAAGAGCAACCTTTTCATGAACAAAATGGTAGTCTAACTCGATGTGTTTCTTTATTGCATGAAACACTGGATTGATTGACATTTGAAGTGCACTCATGTTGTCACTGAAGAGTTCAGGTGGTTTAGTGAGAGGAATGCCAATGTCACGAAGTAGGAATGTGATCCATGTTAGTTCTGCTGTTGCATTAGCGATGGATCGATATTCTGCCTTGGAGCTTGACCTTGAAACTGTTGGTTGCTTCTTTGAGGACCAAGAGATTATATTAGATCCGAGGAATACATAAATACCTGAGGTACTTCTTCTAGTGGTTGGACAAGCCGCCCAATCTGCATCACAAAAGGCATAAAGATTTAGAGAACTGTTTTTACGAAAAGAAATACCATGATTCAGACTGTGTTTAAGGTAGCGAAGTATGCATTTAACATCCCTGAGGTGTTGCATTTGTGGTTGCTGCATATGTTGGCAAGCTTTGTTAACATAGAAATGAATATCCGGCCTTGTCAAGGTGAGATATTGAAGGGAGCCCACCAAACTTCGATAAGCTGTGGGATCTACAAGTTCATTTTCATGAGGGCACTTGTTCTTGCTTGTTGCCATAGGAGTGGATATAGGAGAAACTTCCAACATTTTGGCTTTCATTAAGATGTCTCTCGTATATCTGCTTTGTGTAATGTGGAAGCCATTGTGCGTATGTTGAACTTCAACACCTAAAAAATAGTGCAGAGCTCCCAAATCCTTCAAGGCAAATTCTGTGCTTAACTTTGTTACCAAGTTCATAATAAAAGTTTGGTTATTTCCGGTGAGAATGATATCATCCACGCATATAAGCATTAGGACCAAGATATGATTTTGCTTGAAGATAAAAAATGAAGGATCTAATGTACTACAAGTAAATCCAGTGAATGAGAAATAGAGATAGTCTATCAAACCATGCTCTTGGTGTTTGTTTAAGTCATACAATGATCGTTTTAACATCCAAGCATGATTAGGATAGCTAGGATTAGAAAAACCTGGAGGTTGAGACATGTAGACTTTCTCCTTGAGGTGTCTATGCAAGAAAACATTTTTGACATCTAGTTGCTTGAGTGGCCATTTGAGTGGAGCAGCTAAAGCCAATACCAAACGAATCGTTGTAGGTTTTATGACAGGGCTGAAAGTTTCGTCATAGTCTAAGCCTTCTACATGTGAATAACCTTGGGCAACCAATCTAGTCTTGTGTCTCTCTAGTGACCCATCTTCTTTGAACTTGGTTTTGAAAATCCATTTTGATCCAACTATATTCGTGTTAGGTAGTTTTGGGACAAGTTCTCAGGTCTTGTTATCATGAAGTGCTTGGATTTCTTCCTCCATTGCTTTCTTCCAGATAGGATTCTGAATTGCACCTCTGAATATTTTTGGTTCAAGGGTTGTTGTGGTGGCTATAAGTGATTTGGGTTGCTGTTCTATGTTGGAGATAGGTTGTTTTCACTTCAACCTAGTCATCATAGTATGTGTGGACAATATTCTAGTTTTATCTCTTATTGGTGGTTGCAATGTGTGATTGTGAGCTGCATTTGAAGATCTTGTATTGTTGTCAAAAGGCAGGTTAATATACAAATTGTCATTTATATCAGGTAAATCAGTCAATTTAACTTGAATTAAGGTTATTCAAGGGAGAGCCAAATTGATACATTGTTAGTTCAGTGTCTGTAGGGATTGATTCTGCTACTGGTGTAGTTGTTCGTTCTGGAACTGATTGTTGTTCTTCTATCATGTTTTGTTTTAGTTCTTGATTAGAGACTTCATTGATTATGCTCATAGACCTTTCACTCCTACTGCTGCAAGTTTCACGATGACTGCTACTTTGATCATTTGACCTCATGKTGCTGTCATGAGAATCTTCTTCAAGGTAGATTTTTCTCATGGTGRCAAGACTTTGAGTGTTTGAGCTACTGGTTGCTAATGTAGGATTAGTAGGGAGTACTTCAACCTGTTCTTCACACCAAGGGTAAATCCATTCTCCAATTCCTATATCTGAAAAAGTGGTGATTTCTAGAGTACGTTGTTGTTGTGTGGTGTGTAGGTTGTTTTTCAAAAGGCATATTTTCTTCATCAAATATGACATGTCTTGATATATAAATACGATTAGTATTAGAGTCTAGGCATCTATATCTCTTATGATGAGTGCTATAACCAACAAACGCACATGGATAGGTCTTCTTAGCAAACTTATTTTTTRCTTGGTATTTTAAATAAGGATAGCATCTACATCCAAAGACTTTAAAGCTATCATATAGTTGAGTTTATTTTGGAGTAGTTTTTCAAAAGGGGATTTCATCTCAAGTGCTTTGGAGGGCATTCTATTAATGATGAACGTAGATGTGAGAAAAGCATCTACCCAATATTTTAGGGGAATGCTTGATTGAAAAATTAAGGCTAACCTGGTCTCAACTATGTGTCTACGTTTCCTCTCAACCACTCCATTTTGTTGGGGTGTGTGAGGACATGTCATATTATGAACTATACCCTTTTGATCTAGAAAACATTTGAACTTAAAAAGAAGTAAACTCACCTCCTCCATCGGACTGAAATATTGTAATTCTTTTATCAAAGTGAGTTTCCACCATCTTCTAAAATTTAATAAAGCATTCCATTAACTCATCTTTTCTTTTTAGAGGATAAATCCAAGTGAACCTAGAATAATCATCTACACAGCTAGCAGAGTGGGTGCAGGACCCCATAAATCACAATGAATTCTATCAAAAGAAACCATGCTTGACTTATCATTCAATGAAAAAGGCAGCCTACAACTCTTGCTCATTTGGCAAGTTTCACACACATGTTTTGCTTTCTTCCCATTTGATACATGAATCAAGTTGCTATTATCTAAATGCTTAATAGACAAATTGTTTAAATGACCTAAACGTTTCTGCCAAATATGGATAGGCACTTTATTTGATGTAGTAGTAGTAAATGCAGTTTTCATATTGAATATTTGTAGCGGCTTCTGATCCAAGGCATACAATCCATTTTGCTTAGTTCCTTTTGCTAGTATTGTCCCATGTTTGCTCTTCATAACAAAACCATCCGCATGAAAAATTATATAGTAATTGTTATCATTGGTTAACTTACTAACTCAAATCAAATTCTTTTTAATATTAGGAACAATCAAGGCATCTTTTAAATTTAGCATACTGGTTTTTGTGTGTAATTTCCCTTGGCCTATGTGTGATATATTTAATCCAACCTCATTTCCAACAAATAGTTTTTCATTCCCATTATAAAGTTTTAGGTAAGAGATTGTACCTATATCATTAAGCACATGTGATGTTGCCCCTGAATCTACATAGAGTGTTGGATCATGTTCCTCACTTAGTGTCATTGCTGCCAATGTTGTTGGTATTTCATCACTTTGGTATGAATGATCGAACCTACTCCAACACTTTATGGCAGTATGATTAGGCTTTCCACATATTTGACAAACTATTTGATTACCTTCATTTCTGGTGGGGCTTGATTTAGGCTGCTGTGTGTCAGAGAAAATAGAAGCATTGTTGAAAACAGAGGTGTTCTGATGCATTGTTTGAGGAGTGCTACTTCGCTTGGTTGGAATCCTATACCACGAGAGGTAAATGGTTTGCTTCTTCTTCCTCTCCCTCTTCCCCTATGACTATAGAAAGCTTGATTCATATTAGGGAGGGATACCTTGACTTCTTCATCTTCCATTTGATTTATTTGTTCATGCGCTCTAAGAGAAAGAATAAACTGATTGAAGGTTGGATAGGGAGATTTGGAAAGCATTGTCGTTCTGAATTCCTTGTATGAGGCCCCAATCCACATGCCAAGGTAAATACTTTGCTCAAATCATCCATAGGCATCTTCGTGGCTGCAAATTTGTCACACAAAAACTTAAATCTTTTAATATAATGTAGTGATTCACTTATGTGAATTTCATTTTCCTTTGTGATAGCGAGTAAGGTTTTTTCCAACGATTTCCAACCTTGATGAGCAGTGTCAAACCTTCTATCATAGCTAGAACTTCTTCGGTAATGATTCTCAAGAGCCAAGATGTCAATAGGCCATCATTATTGATCCAAGCTTGATTCACGGATTTGTCACTACATTGTCTATTGTTTCTGTTTGAGTTGGACTGTCGTTGAGCATATGATTTTCAAGTCCTAAGCTTCGAACAAGTGGTAGTACCTGAGATTTTCATAATAGATAATTTGTTGAGCTCAACTTGATCGAGATTAAGCTTGCGCACTGATGAAATGACTGTATTGTGAGGGAAATTTCACTCTTATCCATGTGCACTTAGTTGATTTTCTCAAGATCTTTTGTTCTCCTTGTGCGTGCTCTGATACCATGAAAAAAGAAAGAAACTCTTGAGCCAAAACTTGTAAATAATAATCAGTATGTATTTTTTTTCTATATTGCAAGAGTCCTCTCATCCTTTTTAAATACTGCACAAGGAGAGATGAAAAATTTACAACGGGAACTTACCATTATTTTTAATGGTACACGATATACAAGGGAGATTGCAATAATGGAGATCACAATGATGGAGAATAACATCAATTTAGGGATTGAAATATGTGGTATTGGGTCCGTGTTGGAGGCATAAATTGGGGTGACTTGAGCCACTGATATGGGAACATGAGCTGGCTGAATCTTTACAGCATCGTCATAATTTCTTTGTATCTTGGTTTTAAGTCAATTTTAGTAAATATGCTACATCTAGGGGTGCACATCGGTCGATCCGACATAGTGTCGGTTTTCAAAAATCGAAACCGACCGATCGAATAGACAATGCCATCACCGATCGAGTTTCTGTCGATTCGGTCGGTCGATTTCGACAAACCGATCATTTTTTTCCCAATAAATGACAAGAACTGTGGAGGTGGGACACTGGGTTATGATGGCATGGGTAGCGACTGGTCGGCGTGTTGAGTAGTGAATGACTGGATCGCGACGATAATCAAACGGTGGGGGTTGGGTGCAGCGAAAATCGATGGTGGAGGGTTGGGTGTTGCGAGATGGTGCTCGACAACGAGTGGCTAGCGGCGAGATTGG